AAATAAATGTCTAAACACGCATTTATTATTTTTATTTAAGTTGTGAAACGTTATGATCCGTACTATAACCCCAATTAAATCCTCCAATTTATTGTCATTGTTTGTAAAATCTAACGAAACGAATCATTAATTGCTGCTGGTTTTATATGTGTTCGCTGCAGAAAAGGATGGAAAAAATGCTTCAGAGCGTTTGGACATTATTGTATGTTAGCATGTTAGCGTGGTAGCGTGTTTGTGTACAGGTCAGCTCTAAAGGTTGTTAAGCAGTGAGCTGTGATGGTTCTGACTGACAGTGGAAGCAAAGAACAGCTCCTTAGCGACAACTTTTCTCTTCCATCCCTCGTCTCCTCTGACCTGGTGTGTTCCTGAACTGCTCTCTCTCTCTCTCTCTCTCTGACTCTGACTCTGATCAGCAGGATGCTATGGGGAAAAGTCACAGACACTCAACTGTGGTGATTTATGAGCAGATCTGAAGCCAGCAGGCGGTGTTTTCCTGTGTGTGTACTTTTTGAAAAGTAGGAAAGCTAAAAAAAAAAATCAGCAGGAGTGAAAAACCGTTCCCTGGAGACTCTGTGAGCTCTAACTGATGATTATTGGTGATAATCCATTCTTTATTGGACGTTTCGTGGCTCCCTGGTGAACCGATCTCAGCTGCGTTAGCTTCTGGTTTGGCTGACGACGTCAGTAACGATGTGATTGCTCTGCATAATTCTCCACTTCACATAAAAATCCGAATCTGCTCAGTTCAGAGAATTATGTATGTTGATACCGTCGTGTTAAAGCGGGGGGGGGGGGGCACGTCAGCAATACAGTTCCCCTTGAAGGACCGGTTATAACTCAGCAGCTTGGACTTTATTATAAGACAATTTAACACTTTTTTTAGCTCCCGTCGGCCACACAACATGACTTGGTGAACCACATTCGGCCCGCGTGCCTTGAGTTTGACACCTATGTGCTAAGGCTACTGTAAATGTCAGCATATATTTAATGTATGGCTGGTTTTATCTCAACAATATGAACACCTTTATATATATTTAAAACAATATTTTGCAATTTCAAACACATACTATATTCATGGTATATTGTTTTTTGTTTTTATTTTTTTTGCACATTGAAGTATTCATGTGTATTCCCCTGGTGCAGCAGGTTATTATCTCTGACGGAGCCCCTCACTCTCTGGCCTTTTCTCTGTGAAGAACCTTGACTCTGCAGTCCTCTATAAAACCGATCAAATAAAAATTTAATCTTGATACTGTGGCCCTGCTTCCTCCACCTCTCCCCGTCCTCACAGTCAGTGGTCCATGATGATAAACAAGCGCCTGTCAGATATGAACGTCTGGACCACAATAAAATACAGATTCTTTTTGCTTTTTCCTCCCACTTTTTTCTCTGAGCTACAATTTCATCTTTTGCTCAAATATGTCGTTTATTAACAAAGTTGGTTTAATGTCAACAACTATATCTGTCGGAGGGACAGATTGTTTTTTTCTGGACAGACACTGAAATAAAAGGACATAAAAATCACTTTATAATTTGAGGTTTATTTTGGAACCCAGTCGGACCGGATTCAACCCGCGGGGCACCAGTTGAATGTCACTGCTTTAACGGTTTTGTTCTACAACAGTAGAATTGTATTGAAAACGTGATCATTGAGTTTTATTTACCTCAGAGAGAGTAAGACAGAGGGACAGAAAGAACCCTGGTGTTCCTTCACCTCCTCTGGTGACGGCGGCGTCCAGAGAACTGGTCACTTTTTTCCCGCTCTCTCCAGGTGTCGTATATATATATATTTATTTCTCCTCCTCGTTCAGAGGATGTGTTTCTGCAGGATGGCGTCGGGTAAAGCCAAGGCCGGAGTTAAATCTGAGCACTTGTGAATCAGCCGTCCTTCAGGGGCCGCGGTGACAGTCGGCGTTCGGAGGCGGTGCCCATTTTTCCTCCTTATCCCCCAGCTGAGTCTGTGCTGGTCCATTACCCAGCACTGGCACTGTACTGCGCTCCACCATAACACCCCAGAGAGCCTCAGACCGAGCGGAGCACTCTGTTAAACACACCGTCGACCATGCAAGTCGTCTGCGGCAAATGACCAGGGATGATTTGATGGCGCGGTCGTGATGACGACCGAAACTTGGCAAAGTCTTGTGTTGTGTTCGCACCACACACACACACACAGCGGCGTGTTCCGGGTTTTTATTCATTCGGGGGGAAATGTGTTGTCTGGAAAAAAAAAGTTCTAACTTCACAACTGACGCTGAAGAATTTATATAACATTTGGTTCATGTTCCCTTTAAATCTTCAGAGTTTCCTGTGGAGACGACGGCTCCATATTAAATATTAAACCACAACATTCAACCAACAAATATCTACATTTTTACAGATTAAGTTAATGAAGAAAAACAGATGTCGTTGAAAAAAAAAACTTAAACTCTGCCTCGTCCAACATCAGATCTACTGCGGTCTTGACCTTTGACACAGGAAAGAAAAACAGACCCTGGGAATGAAAATAGTACCTGGCATAATTATAGTTATAAATATTTTAATGTCAGTAACTTAAAACTAAAATAAAATCCTTACTGTGTTTTATAAAAAAAAGAAATATATATATGTACATTGAGAATGTTAAAATTTCAATGGTTTAAAAAGTTGCTTAAAAAAACTCTACTTTTGATTTTTGGTTTCAAAGTCTAGAAATTGTCCTGATGGAAAATATAAGTTCCTTCAGGAGTCTGGATGGACTCCTTTGTTTCAGACAGT